CACTTGCTAAGTCTTATAATCTCTATCTCTATTTCTAATTGTCATTAATTATGGTTAATCCATGATATTATATTGGAGTATACCTTGTATTAGGATTGATAGGGTGTTATGATGTGGAATTAAAATGTCTTTATTATTGTTGTGAGGTTGTTAAGATTTAAAGGTTATAAGGGTGATGATGTATACCAATGTGCTTTATTATGAAGTGTTATGCAATGTGTTAACATCACTTATATGAATTGTGATGAAAGGACTATACTCATGAAATTCTTATTTGCGTTGACTTTGTTGATGAATATTGACGTTATATAATGATACACTTATATGATGTTGACTTTGTTGATGAATATTCTATTGGTCTAAGTTGCTATATGTGGTGATGACTACCTATGATGATATGATATGATAGATGAAGCAACGCATTACTTATGGTCTCCTACATTGTTTACTTGGTTGTGTGGGGCTATAGGGATTCACATGAGCATTGCACTTATAGGTTTGGGATGGGATTGTGGTAAGGGTTTTGTATGTTATATTGATATGGATTATTGAACTTGTTATGTTGATATGATTCTTATGTTGATGTTGTCTTAATTATGAGCATGACTTGTGTTATTATGATTCTTATGTTGTATATTCTCTCTTGTATGTTCATTAAAGGCTTTCTAATGATTTAGGAAGTCTTCTAAAGTAATGGTCCCTTTTCATGCATGTTTCAAATGTTTTATGTGCATTGTTTTCATACTTAGTACAAGTGGTGTACTGACCCATATTTCTATGTTTTCTACAAATATTTAGGTTCTGACTATTGATTTTCTAGGAGGCCGATTGAAGAAGACTTGGACTATTTTCTTCCAAGTGTTGGTCGGTCCTCATGTGTGAGGATTATGCCTTTTCAATATTCTAGCGTTGTAATCGTATATTCTAGTGACATTATTCTTTCCTTTATCATTCGATACATTGTTGTAAGCCTATATGGAGTATTGAACTTGTATTGGCTAAGTCCAAATATTGTACTCCTTTAGATGGTTTTAGGTGAGACGATCTTAATAGACTATCTTATGAATGTTATATATGTTGTTTAAAAGAGAATCTTAAGTAGGTTTCCTATCTGATGAGTCTATGTAAACTTCATATAAGTAGTATCTGAGAGGACTATGTAAACTTCACTATGTATATGTAAATTTTTTAATCTTTCCGTGTTTTAGCCTATGATATGTAATGACAAATGCTAAGGGCTAGTCTAATTCCTCTTCGAGGACGACGACGCCGGTTACGTCTAGGCAGTACTCCCCGGATGTGACAGTGGAACAATAAAATCATATGTGAACATATTAAATTTTTAGATGGAAATTATTTGGTTCCTTACGTTGAACTAATTGTGATGGGAGAACCTTGTTGGCTTGATGTACACATGTTAAATAAAATCATCTCATACCAAATTTAATTTGAGAGATTTGTTCTTATAATCAATGGTCTAGTTATAATTGGAGGCATACAATTCTAAGTCAACAAACATTATCAACATAGTTTTATAGTTTGAAACTGTCCTCTTAATTTAAGAATTCGAGCAAATAACCTTACAAAAACCAATTTGTAAGTTGATACAATTGGGCGTCTAATCGTACCATAGATGCATCTATTAAATCATAATAGCAAACGGTTCACATGGCAGATGAACGGGCCAATATTCACCTTTTCCTTGTGCAGCACACACGGTTGGACGACGTCGGCTGTGGCATGACATCAACGCCCTTGGTATGCACACATGATCGGGCGACGTCCGGCATGGCATGCCATCATTGCCCTTGTGCAACACACACGGTTGGATGCCGTCGGTCGTGGCTATGCCATCATCGCTCTTGGAGTGCACATACGGTCGGACGATGTTGGGTGTAACATACCATCATCATCCTTGGAAAGCATACATGATTAGACGACGTCTGGCGTGACATTTCTCATCGACCTTGGAAAGCACACACGGCCAGATGATGTCGGGGATGGCATGCCCGCATGGCCCTTGGGCAGCACACACGGTCGAATGACGTCGGACGTGTTCCAAATAATTTTAGGAGATACAACCTCAACCTTAGCTAATACATTAATCATTTTATCGTAAGAACAAGCAACACAAAAGAATGCTTAAAGAATATTTTACTTCTTCAAACATGTAGTTACTTGAATTCTCAAATTCTTTTGCATCACATTTGAATAGGAATGACCAACCGATTAAGCCAATTAATAATTATTCTAGTAAACTTTTAGTTTACTTTTGCATATGATTATATCATCATGCCCATGTTTGTATACAATGAACAAGAGGAAAAAAATGGGTAATCTTATACATAACTATATTATAAACCACTTCGGTTGTAGTAATCTGAAGATATTAAATCTTTCAATAATTCGTAGTCTCAAATAATAATTTTTTCTTTTTTGAATTCCTCCGTAACTTAAAAAGTTTCTTTTGAGACTACAATTTCAATATTATGAACAATTTCATTCCTCCGGATAGTAAAAAATTAGCCCTTTTGAAACTCTCAATTAATTTTGTGTACTACCACAAATTTTACAATGTCATTCTTATGGTGACCATCTCCTTCAAGGAGAAAATTATTATTATTGTCATGGTTAAAATTATCATATGCAAGATATGTTTCTTGACAATCAATAACAGATTTGTGTTGCCACAAAATAATATTTATTTTGATCATGGCCACAATCTTTATAGGAAATAATTATTTATTTCTTTTGTCCTTCTATAATTTAACATACCACAATATTTGTGTAGTACTTAAAGTATATGACCAAATGATCATTTATGCCAAAATATTTCTTTTCAATCTCTCAAACCTTCCATAGAGATGAGATGTGACATTTATCCAACAATATATGAACATGCCCCATGAGTTTTTATTAGACACTCATTGTCATATTTTCATATTTGTCAAATTTATGTGACTCACCTCAAATCACTTTAAGAGGTTAGATGTACCAAATGTAGTACCACTTTGAATTCCTTTATTTTGATGGAGAATTTGCAAAACTTTTAAAATTTGGTTGCACCAACAACAACGTAGTCAATAACATTTCATACCACTGTAATGAATACAAATTGCATTCACATTTATAGGGTCATCTTAAGAAACAATCTGTCATAATAACTTATTATATTACTTTGAAGGACCATCTTAAGAACCTATAATGTTCTTCCTTTTAATTAGGGATAATGCACAAGTACCTCCTCAATCTATGCCCGAAATTTCAGAGATTCACTTATACTATCCTAAGGTCCTATTACCCCCTGAACTTATTTTATTAATAATTTTCTACCTTTTTTTCGGCCTACGTGGCACTATCTTGTGGGGCCAACGCTAGTTGACTTTTTTTTTTCAATTTAGTGCCACGTAGGCCGAAAATGGGTAGAAAATTACTTATAAAATAAGTTCATGGGGTAATAGGACCTTAGTATAGTATAGTGTGTCTTTGGGATTTCGGGCATAGGTTGAGGGGGTATTTGTGCATTTTCCCTTTTAATTATCATAATGATCATCATTAACATTTTATCACACCCAAATTCATACATTCAAGCATTTGTCATTTTTCAGACATATTATGCACTGCTACCATATTCATATAAGAGAATGAAGCAAATTAATTGAGCCAATTTCACGATTTTTTAGTCAAAATCATACAACTTTATGTTAGTCATCACCATATCATCACTACAATCCATTATGAATTAAATCCTATATCTTACCCATATAAAGACGCTTTTGGTTATAAATCGATGAGACTTAAACCCTAACTTCTTATTATCATGCTGCACTGAGACTTTAACTCAATGTCTTACCCACCTGGTGCGGTGAAACTTGAATCCACCGTCTTACTCTCAATCATTTTCTTCATAAACCAAATGCATTACCAAAATATAAATATTGAATACCATGTATATAATATGAATTTGACTTAAAATCGATTAAAAATGAACAAAGCTAATTAATTAGAACAACATGTTGGAACCATATAAAAAAACAAGTTTAAATAAATTAAAACATTTTAATTGTCCCTCTCAATGTTGTTGTGAAGATAACCATAATTTACTAACCATTATAAATAACCACAAAATAATCTTTGTTAGTACAAATAAATATATAGTATATGAAATATACCTTGCACGAAGAATTATTAGGATAATTTATAAAAATCAAGAAATACCTACCATTCATTTTTAATGGAGAATGAATTACTCGTGTTGATAACGTGTTGTTTAACTTAAGAACAAAAAAACATTATAAAGATGAAGACAAGAAAAATATAAGACAAGAGAAACACTCTATAATATAACTTTCTTTCATTCTTTCTTATATTTTCCAAATCTTCAACTGTCTATAGTATGAACCCTTATGCCTCTATTTATAGTGTAAAGTGTAATATAGATACATACAAAATGTTAATCATAAACATAATATTTACATAATATAATGAGATATGTTATAAAAATAAAAGTTTACAAAAATAATGGTTATAAAAATTAGAAGTTACAATCATTTTCATAATAGAGAAAAACTAATATAATAAATTCTTGATATACTGGACATCCATAATATATTACTCCCTTCGTTTAAAAAAGAATAACCTCCTTTTCTTTCTAGTCTGTTTAAAAAAGAATGAACTCTTTTTTTAGTAAAACTTTAATTTTAATTTTCCACGTGCTATATTTAAGACAACAAGATCAAAGAGCAATTTTATACATTTAACCTAATTTTAATTTAGGATCAAAAGATACAAAAATCTTCTTTAAATTCTTAAACTTTATGCCAAATTAAATGAGGTCGTTCTCTAAAACGAGAAAGTATTTTGTAACAAAAAGCAATTAGTAGCTAGTTTGAAGTCACGTGATATAGGATCTTTTTGCCCGGCATAGGAGCCACCAATAGCACTTAAATGGTCACGCGCCTTCTCAACGCGTGTCGAAATTATTCGCACAAACTCGAAATGATAAACCTAAAAAGGAAAGAGAGAGCATATGTTCAACTATAGAGAGATTTTCTCTCTCTATATCTTCTTCAACCAAACCCTAGCCTAGCAAACGTTTGTTGCAGCAAAAAGCACAACTTCGAAGAAACTCTCTTTCATCTCTCTACTGAATTGGTAGCTTCACTAACTAATTGGGGTTTTGATGGAGACTCGTGTTGGGAACAAGTATCGACTCGGTCGGAAAATTGGCAGTGGATCTTTCGGAGAGATCTATCTCGGTTCGTTTCAGAAACTTCTCACTCTATTTTTGATTGATGTTAATTGCGATTCTGTGCTGCAGGTACTAATATACAGACTAATGAGGAGGTAGCAATTAAGCTGGTGAGTGCATCTCTTGGACCAATTACTTTTCTTCTGTTGAATTTTTACACTTCCTTTTTCATCCCGGTTATGTATATTTTTACTATTTCTTTTGGTTCATTTGGAAGATAGCAACTTATCCCTCGCTTGTCCTCCCAGTTATCAAAAATCCACATTCTCAGTGCTCATGACTGGAAATCTCCCTTTTAGAACAGAAGAATTTAGTTCATTTGAAAATAATCTGTATTTTGAAACTGATGTGCCAAATTAGGTAGGTGATGACTTATTAGGGTATGATAGTCGATACAGTTGAGTTACTGTGAAGCACCAATTATATCTTAGTTTAGAATTGTTTGCTCAAGTACATGTGAATGATGGCTTTCTGCTTCCTAGTTCCCTGTATAGCATTGAATTTTTCATTGTTTCTGAAGTTTAGCATGTATGCTATGTTGATATGTGATTATCATTGGAATGATCGTAACGTAGCCAAATGTGTTAATATACATGAATTTATAGTATTTCAAGAACATTAACTCTTTGGAAACGTAGCCAAATGTGTTAATATACATGAATTTATAGTATTTCAAGAACATTAAGTCTTTGGAAAATAGTAGCTTTGGTCCCTTATTTATTTGCATTACACCCGCTTTTGGTTCCCATATTGTTTTATTGAGCACACTTAACACTCAATTGAACTAAGTTCTCGTTTGAATTAACCTTATTTAGGTGCTTTTGGCTTCTGAACCTTTTTTTTTGTTTTGGAGGTGTTTGGAAAGGTTATAAAGTGCTTTAAAGCACTTACTTTATAAGCGCTTCAAACAACATTAATCATACAATTTTGGTTCCTTGTTGACTGAGGCTAACAGACATTTACTTATGCAAGCAAACAAAGACAACATAAATTTTTTGGCATGCTTGAGACCATATTGTAGGGCATTGTTATCTGCACTTCTCGATAACAGAGGCAGAATCTCCTCTTGCTCATCGTCCAGGGAAAATGCTATTCCAACTGCAAAAGGGTTTTTGGTTAAGCATATTACACCTTCCATTAAAATATCACAGTAACCTAATCCCCAAGAATTTCTTTAAGCTGAAGACTGGAAAATTGTGATGGTTAGGCTAGGGCTGTGTGATAAGGCAGGGTAATTCAAGGAAGGTGAGTACTATTATGTTTGGGTATCATGGTACTGTAGTCAAATTGAGTGAAAATAATTTTATTTGTAGATGGGTGAGGACATCTTGTTATGCAACATGGCTTATCATATTTTTGGAAGGAAAAATTATGCATTGAGGTTAAATGTAGGGGGATTTGTTTTTGGGAATAGTCAAAGGTCCTTTGTTCTCTAATCATCTAATGCTATGATACTTGTATAACCATTGAAGTTCTTCATTTCAGTAAATGAGATTCCAACGGGAGATCTTTTGTATTTCTACAATTGAGGAAATTGTAGTTGGCCCGTCACACTTCGTAGCAAATGTAGGGGAATCAATTGACAAATAATGGTTTTTTCTGAATGCAATTGAATTTTTTCCTATAAGGGATATATTTATGAAGGTAATTATTAGTGAGCATGTGGAGACAATGTAAACACGATGTTCCTGCCCCATACAAGTGAAAGGAAAATGGAAACCACAAAAACTTGGTTGTACATTGTATTAAGTAGTTCTAACGGGCAACCTATTTCCACTGTTAGTTGAAATTAGAAGTTTTCTTCTTATTTTCCTAGGATATTGTAGTTTCCATCAAAAGTCATTAGCAAAACATTGAAACAACACCAAGAATATTATTTTTTCTGGAAGTCTACCTTTCTCGCATAAAAACGATCTAGATTTGTACACGTTGCGTATGGAGAAGGATCGAACCAATGGAAAGAATCTACAAAACTCACCTTCTTTGGCTAAGTTCTCCACTAGATTTTAGTGCGTTGAATGTTTGTCTTTTCCTTGTATGCATCTGAGTACTTAAGGACCCCGTCATTTTGGCGGCCGACGTCTCTGTCAATTGGTGGAAGACTCGCACATATCGACTTCAAGGGATGGAGTCGATCGACCTTCCATTCTCATGTTTACAATTTACATCACTTCTCTCTTTCTAGCATTGACTAGACAAAGGTTTCAAATGAGCATCCCATGGGGAAGCCATAACTTAGAGCATCTACCTCTAGCAAATGCCATCTAACCAAAAGCTTAAGCTAATAAAGAAAGTATATTTTATTCACTTATGTATCACTTCCACTTACATACTTAAGTATGTCTTCAAAATTAAGCATGTACATTTTTTTTTATAATGGGTGATTGTGAGGCTCAAACTCAGAACTTCTGCCTGCGCTCATCATGTGAGTATGCTTGGACCACAAAGAAACCAATTACACCACCCACATCAGTGTTTTGGGATGCGAGAACCGGAAAAAAGCGACGAGGGCTTGCTTCACAGAAGCGTGAAGCGAAGCACATTTTTTTTTTAAAAAAGCAACATTTCGTATAAAAATAAAAATATTAAACAACTAAATAGAGGTAATATAGTCTTAAATTAAAAGAAAATAGATAGTCAATAATACTCATAAGTCATAACATATAAAGCAAAAAATCAAAAACATAATTAAATCACAAATATTCAAACTCCTATTCTTCAACAAGATCCTCAAACTCTTCAAGTGTCATAACCAAGGGTTATAATTGGTCATCATCTTCTTCATCATCAGAAGTGTCAAAAGATTAAAAAAAAAAGAGCTGCTAACATACACACTGATCACAAAATAAAAACGAAAAAAAACAAAAGAATTTAAAAAAAAGGAGGAGGCAGTCAGTAATTGTGAATAGAAACAGAGCAGATCGCAGCAGAGATGAAGAGAAGAAGAGAAGAAGAAGAAAAAACTATAGCAGTCGCATCGTGAAGAGAAAAGAAACTCACAGAGATGAAGCAAAGGCGAAGATTGTATATTTCAGGTGAAAAGGAACTCATAGAGATGAACTAATAAACATCGGTTAAAACTTACCTGCAGTCGCGGTCGAGGTGTGAAGAGAGACACAATCTCAGGCGCTGTCGTAAAGAGAGAAGAAGCGAATGAAGAGTCGTGAAAGAAAAATTAAGTCATATTGTATATTTCAAATTTTTTAGATAGACCTAATTTTTTAAAAAAACCCTAATTGTCGCTTTTTATAATAAGCGCGCTTTATTGCACTTTTGCCTTAATGTCGCTTCTCGCTTCTTTATCTGAAGCGAGCACCTTTTTCAGATCGCATCGCCTCAGAGAAAGAAGCGCACTGGTGTCGCCTCGCTTTGAAGCGCGTTTTAAGCGCACTTTTTTGCGCTTTTCACAACACTGACCCACATTGATGTGGGACTTCCCATTGCTTGAGCATGCCTAGTAACTTAAGCACAAATGACATAATATATGGGTCCGACATCATGTAAACAAAGAATTGAGATGGCCTAGCTTTAATATATGGGTCCGACATCACTTCCACAATTTTTAATTGTGCCAAAGTCCTCTTGGCTTCAACTACAACACCCATCGGTATTCTATGTCATCCTCTCTAATGACTCAAAATAAACCAGTTTTGTTTGACAAAAACCCATTCAAAGGGGACAAGAGCCTTTTGAATTTATCTACCCCTCCAAGTATGAGCTAGTGCCACTTAGCTTTAGACAATTAGGGCTTATGTACTAGATTTACTTAATGGTCAAATATACTCTGTGGAATAACTTGGAAATCAAAATGGATGAAGATATAACTTACGGACTCTGATGGTTGTTCTCCTAAATTTATTAGTTATAACTCTCTCCATCTCATTTTCTGCGATACTATGTTGTGATAAGAATGCCATGTTCATGTATTTGGTAACACTAGTTTAAGTGCAGACACAATCTCAATAAGTATTATTTTAAAAGAAAAATCACATAAATATTATGTTCAAAAGTGAGCTTGAATTATGAAATAAAAGTGTAAATTATTGAAGATGATAAATATAATAAATAAGGAAAATGCAACTAAGAACTTCTCAACCATTAGTTGTTATATTAATGTATAATTTTTTTTCTAGTAACTTGGCTGAAATAAAGCATTGTGGCAACTAAAATTTTACTTCCCAAAAAAGAGTATTTGTGGCAATAAACCACCCTACATAAGTTGGTTTTCACTATTGAAAACTCAATGCATGTAGGTGCAATAACAGAACTAATCATGACATATTACGACCTACAAATCCTATCAAAAGGTATTCTATTTATGTTAAAAAATAGATGACCATAGGGGTGAAAACAAGAGATAAATTGACATGGATGCTAAAAATACGTTCTCTTTGTTCTCTCATCAACAAATATTAAATTATATTCTAGCTTCTGTCCTCTAGTATCACGCCAACTTTTCTTTTTAATTGTCTTTAGTGTAGTTGTTTATTTTCATCATCCTGGTCACTTTTATTGTTTTGCCTAGATTGTTGTGATTATAATAAGATTTAATGATTACAATTTAGTTTATTATTAGAAAAATAATTAAATAGCTATTTTTAATTAAAAGAACATACATAGTATAGTCCCAAGAGTGGGGGTTAGATAAGATGTATGGAGACCTTATCGAATCTTTGTAGGGTGGAGAGGTTGTTTTTGATAGATCCTTGGCACAAATGAGAGGTTTTCGTAACAAAGTAAATACGATAGTAGGAAATTACAAAGCTAGTAAAACAATAGAAGTACCACACATTGAAGAATATAGTGATTAGTAACTACTATCATTAGTAGGCAGTTATGATCCAGATTTTTTTTGTGAAGCTGAAATAGTGACAATAGATCATCTTTTCTGCATTATAAAGTGACTGGCATTATGACTGGTTAATTAACTTGAGGGATATTAGATGGGCCATGCCAATGCATAGTGTAGACCTACTAGCATGCTGGAATAGAGATGGAAATCAGGACACAAAGAGAGATGGAAGATTGCCCTGCGTGGAAGGAGAGAAATCAGAGATGTTTTAAGAACAAGAGCATTTCCTTCCAAAGTATAAATATGTGATTTGCGACTATTGCGGGGGTTTCACTCTGTGCACACCTAAGGGTAGCGGCTGCGGGTTTTTATTGTCATAAAAAAATGAACAGTTTAGCAACCTTTTACTTTTGGTGTATCCATTCTGTACCTAAGGATATATGGGACATTACCCTATTTTTAGATAGTTTTATAAGGTATATAGGTGATAGATGTTGTCTTGGCTGTTCCTTCATACTTCTGATGCAAGTACTTAGGAGCACGCTATTGGTGTACTTCTTTTGTTTATAATACTAGTTAACCTTTCTCGAAAAAATCTACTACTACTAATAGGAGGGGATAAGGCTAGACCATGTAGTGCGGAACACTCAACTACCTACAAAAAGTCTATTCTAATTCTCAACCTCTATACCTTCCTATCTAGGGTCGTGTCTTTAGTAAGCTGGAATCGAGTCATGTTGTGTCTAATACTCTTATTACCTCCCCTCAGATCTTTTTCATCCTACATCTACCTCTCCTAGTTTCTGCAATAGCCAACCTCTCACACCCCCTTATTGGCGCATCCACACACCACCTCTTCACATGTCTGAATCATCCCATTCTCACCCTCATCTTATCTGCTTAGGGGGCCGCTCCAATCTTGTCCCTTGTAACTTTGTTTCTAATCATATCTCTTCTAGTATGCTTACAGTTCATCTGCATCTCTACTACATTCACCTTTTTGACGTGGGTTCTTGATTGACCAACACTCTGTCCCAACTCCCATGTTACAATGTCAAAGGTAGTCTAACCACTGCTCTATAGAATTTACCCTTCTAAAGTCTTGGTAGCACATTCTTATCACACAGTACCCCGGTTGCGATCCCCCCTCTCCCCCCCCCACCCCCCAAAAAAAAAAATTAAAAAATAGAATAAAATAATACAATATGCGACATCATCATTAATCTCTCCGTCTCCTTGGCTTATGGACCCAAGATACTTAAAGCTCCATTTCTTGGGTATGATTTCTTGTTTCACAAATGAATACTCAACGAAACAGGGAATGTATATTCTGTGATCATGGGTTACTTGCAAATTATGCAACTCCATATTCATCAATTTATAGGAAATTAAGAATAATGATAGATGTAATATACCTGCTACAAGTCTCTTTGGCCCAAATGGAAATTGTTGAATACTGTATATTAAAATAAGTTGTGCTTTTATCTTTCAAACAACCAAATATGCGTGTTCAAGATTTTCATGACCTTGAAAATCTTGTGTTTCTTTTTACCAATTATAACCTCTTTATGGCTGCTTCTGACATTCTGCCAATGGCTATGCCTTAATTTCATACTCTCAAAATTCACTCCTTATGTTGTGTTTTTCTTCTTTTGGTTCTCTTCCTATTCTAATATCAAGAATGTATGTATATTATTGGCACCAACAATTATGGTATATCAATTGAGTTAATATTCCTTTCCCCTCTTTCCTTTTCTACTTGTATGAGAAATTGTAGAGCTCTTATAAAGCTGTAATTCAGTTTCATTGATTGAGAGATTCCTTTTTAGTTTGCTTATATTCTGATTCCGTTACCTCCTCTCCTCCTTTCTTTTCTAAAAAATTGAATATTTCTTAAATTAGTTTGGAATACAAAAAGTCTTGGAAGTATTAAAGAATGACTTTTGAGTTTTCTTATTTGGGTGAAATGATTGAACATATGTACGGAGAAAGTAGTTAAAAGAGAAGGATCCTTAGCCAAAGAACTATCCCACATCAAAAGTTTGAACTTTATAGATTACAATTATATTAGACTTAAAGTTTTCTGCATATTTCACTTGAGGCATCTCAACTAATGCTTGTACCTATTGAATACCTATGGTCCTTAAAATTGATACCTATTTGTCATTTTTTTGACAATCATCCAAAAATGTGAAATGTGTGTAATTCACTCGCGATGACCTGGCGGTGACATAACAAATTGATGAATTAATTGATGACACGTGACATTTAAGTCCAAAAATTTATTTTAAAGGGGAAATTCTAAAAGATCTATTTTAATCTATTTAACTAACCAAAAAAATTTAAAAAGAATTTTCTGAAAAAAAACCACCACCCACCCACGGCTGCCCTTCTTCTTTGTCAAATTTCGTTTCCCTTTCACCGGCGGCGGTTGTGCAACCCCCTCAGTAAATCATTGCCCTCACCTCTGTAATTCTTCTCCATTGAACCTTACCTCTTTGAGCTAGGTAGTGTGCGGTCCAAAGCTATAACTCATTCCTCTTTCAATTGGATAGCATCAGAACTTTTTACCCATTGCCATCATTTTCTTTCTATTACTAATCATTTATTATAATTATATGAAAAATAAGATCAACTTTTGCCCCAAAAAAATCAATTTGCATCATCTTCATCAGCAAAAATGGAGTTTCGAAAAAAATTTTAAGATTTAGATTTATGTAGTAATTAAAAAAATGAAAGAAGGAAAAATGCAGAGAGAATCGGTGAGAGTGAGAGAAAGAAAGTGAGGGACTGTGGTGTGGGTGTGTACAAACTGAAGTGATGATGAAAATGCAGGGAAACAGAGACTGGGAAGAAGACAACTCTTTCCGTCTCTTTTTTTTCTTTTCTTTTTGTTAATTATTTTTTTAAAAAAGTAGTTGTATAACTTGAAAAATAAAAAAGAAAAAGAAAAAAATATTACTTCAGAACTATTCAACTCGCTTAAAGAGGGTGGAGCACACTTTTTTTTGCCATGTCATCATTTTGTGTTTAATAGGATTGACTTTTGAGCAAATAAAGTGTTCAATAGATACAAGTCTTAGTTGAGGTGTTTAAATGAAATAGGCGGACAACTTTAAGTGTTTGTCAATGACTTAAGCCATTATATTATATACATATAGATAGTATCTTCAATTTTGGCACCTTGCATATATTGAGTTTACATTCAGAAGTCTTCCTTTATTTCTCAAACTTCTTACACAGTCAAATGAAGTGGCAGAAATGTGATACGGGGAGTATTTCTTCATTTCATTAATGCCTTCTTATAAAAGAGATTTTCAGCTGCCAGTTTTGGGCTGAGACAACAGTTACTGTAAATAATGAAACGATCTTATAAAACTTGGGTTGCCCCTTGTAGGAATGCTCCTATTTGCTTAGCACTTGTTTTCTTAAAATACATCAGGGGAACAAGTGAACTATGACTTGATTTCTCTATTACATTGCACATGGGCATAGTTTGACAGGTCAATGCTATCATGGAATTATGTCGATCTTGAAAGTTGAAGGTGATTATGTTTTAAACATTATGTAGTTCTGCTGCCTTGTATAATTGCTCACACAGATGATGAATGTTAGCCGTAACAGAATAGTTATTTTTTCTGAGTTCAGGCAGGTATTGGAGAAGCTTGTGCTTCATTATTGTCCTTGGGGGTTAGCTAAATTGGTATAGGTTAAGGAACTTGTGTCTTAGATCACAAGTTTGAGCCCTGTGCCAAGCAAACTCAGTCCAATATTCAAGTAGAGAAGGGTAGACCCATCATCACTGAGCTAGGGAGGTTGCAGTTGGCCCAAAGAGTTAGCTCCAGACAAATTTCTCATTCAAAAATAAGAAGTTTGTTCTTCATTATTTAAGTCCACAAGTGGGTGAACACATATTTGCCCCTCTCCTTGCCAACCCCCCTTCCCCCCTTCTTCTGACAGATAAAAAGTTTGTGCATATATGTTAATTTCTGATCTAATATTTCCTTTTGGACATATGATGTTCACAGAAAGTGAATTGGAGATACATACCTCATAACATTGTTGTTCATAGCTTCGAAACACATCGATCAGTTGATTTTGACTGGGAAAAAGATGGATAGAACTCCCATGTATATCATATTCCTATATCGCAAATAATTCCTATGATTACATATCTGGAAGTGTTAATCTTTTTCTTTATTTATCTTTGTGTATGTGTTCATCCTTTCTTTTTTCTCTAGGCCCCAACTATGTGAATGACTGCATTATTTCTTCTAATCTGTTTTTAAGGTCTGATAAATGTTGGTGATATTGCAGGAAAATGTCAAAACAAAGCATCCTCAGTTGCTATATGAGTCAAAGTTGTATAGAATTTTGCAGGGAGGAAGTAATAGTCGTTTCTGTCTTCTCTTTCCTTTTGACTATGTTTTCATGAGTAATGGTACTAATTATGATACTTGTTTTAGCTGGAATACCAAATGTGAGGTGGTACGGTGTTGAAGGAGATTACAATGTTCTAGTCATGGATTTGCTTGGACCCAGTCTAGAAGATTTATTTAATTTTTGCAGTAGGAAACTTTCCCTGAAGACAGTTCTGATGCTTGCAGATCAAATGGTAATAGTTAAAATAATGCTTCTTATTTAGTCTTAGGCTGCCTAAACTTGTTGGTTACATGGCTATTCCATTTTTTACTACAGATAAATCGCATTGAGTTTGTTCATTCTAAATCATTCTTGCATCGAGATATTAAACCAGACAATTTTCTTATGGGCTTGGGAAGGCGTGCAAATCAGGTCCGATATTTTGATTATTAATTTTTACTCGTTATCACAATTTCCCAGGATTTATGTGTTACCATAGTTTAATTCGACTTAAAATGCAGGTCTACATAATAGACTTTGGTCTGGCCAAGAAGTACCGAGACACTTCTACTCACCAACACATACCTTACAGGTAACTTGATAGCTCCCATTTGTAAGAGCATTAATGTTTGCAGTGACTGTTTCTTTTTCGTTGAGAATATGTTATAGTATAGTTCATAGGAATTTTTCCCCTTGTCAAATTGTTCTTCTCCTTGATTTTCATAGGTACAGAATCCTTTTTCAGTTTGCTTTAGAACTTCCATCTGAAGAGAAAAGACTGAGCAGATTATATACGTAAATTCCTACCTTCGGATATGATGAGGCATTATGAAGAAAGTTTCTGTCAATTATGAAAGAAATAGATATGATTCTTTTGGCCCTAATTACCAAAATGTAACACTCCAGCTGGGGATATGTGATAATTACAGATTGTTGCAGGTGTATGGATGTTGCTAAGACAATTCGAAGTGCATTTCTCTAAGATCTGTTGTGTAACAAATGCATGTCTTGAAGTCACCCAATGCATTTCTTGGTGCTGTGAAAAATCTTATGATGGAAATATGTCTATTCCATTTCAGAGGACTGTTACGTAGTACTGCCTCATCTTTATTTATAAGTATCCCCAAGTTCTTTTCTGTATGAATGCACATGCATTTGTGTTTTGTATTTTATCTGTGCCTTATAAGATAGTTTGCACTACAGAGAGAACAAAAACTTGACAGGCACTGCAAGATATGCTAGCATGAATACTCACCTTGGTATTGGTGAGTGTTCCTGTTATTTATATTTGTTTGCTTATTCTTTGTACAGCTCGAAACAATGCTGTATTTGTCAGTTGATATGCTATTACTGTTGTTATAGAACAAAGCAGGAGAGATGATTTGGAATCTCTTGGATATGTCCTGATGTACTTCCTAAGGGGAAGGTAAATTTTGCTGCAATTTCTTTCCTCATTATTGTTTTATTCAGCTTCTTTTGACATCTAGTTTATTGCAGTCTTCCTTGGCAAGGGCTGAAAGCAGGAACTAAGAAGCAGAAATATGATAAAATTAGTGAAAAGAAGGTGTCAACATCTATTGAGGTAATTTATTTGCAAATTTGGTGATTGGATTTTCTTTAGACACATCTATGGAGCATTGGTCTACAATTTTGCAGGCTTTATGCCGGGGTTATCCTACTGAATTTGCATCCTATTTCCATTTTTGTCGTTCACTACGCTTTGAGGATAAACCAGATTATGCTTATCTGAAGAGAATATTTCGTGACCTCTTCATCCGCGAAGGTCTAAATGAATTTTGAAAGATTATTTTTAGGTTTATTTGGTAATATGCGATCTAGGCTCCCCTTACACTTCTATGTGCATTGCAGGCTTTCAGTTTGACTATGTTTTTGATTGGACTATATTGAAATATCAGCAATCGCAAATCGCAGCTCCTCCTTCCCGACCTCTTGTAAGTGATAAAATGTCGCTTTTTCTAAATGTGTGCAGAGATTATATCTTATGATGGCTTCTTTTATTAGGGCACTGGTGCTGGAACCAGCTCAGGCATGCCCCCGGTTATCCCTAGTGCAGAAAGGCCGTCAGGTGATCTTCCAGTATCCTGTCATTTTTGTGTTCTAATGAGAACATTGAGGTTTATTTTTATTGTTTGGCTTCGTCACTTACTGGTGAGATTACTGGTGGAGACCTTCCTGTCTCTTCCATTTGGGATTTTCATTGTGCCTACTCTCAATAATTTGCAGGTGAGGAAGAAGGAAGACAACTAGCAGATGCTTCTCGAAGGAGATATTCTGGGCCGCTTGTAAATGCAGGAAGTTTGTCCAAGCAGAAGAGTCCTCTCAGAAATGATTCTACCAGCAAGAATGCTATGGTAAGTGAGTTGGATTAACTTAGATAAGATGGTAAGATTTTTAAATTCCAGAGCTTCTAGGATATAGATTAGTCCATAATCGATTGTCAGAGATCTGTCCATGATCAATTGTAGTGAAACCTTGAGTGCAAGTGTGTAACTTTGTTTTGTTGAAGTGCTCTGCCAATTCTAAAATAACTCTTACGTCAGAATTCAGATGATTTGGACAAAGAATCTAGGTTTGTATTTCCTTGGTCCCAGGAAAACCAAAAGAAGATAATAGTGTTTCAAGTTGTTGATGTGGAACTTGATATATGCTATATATGACAAGTGATTTTTTTGCCACATTATGATGAAGCGTTCAATTTTTCAGTTGCCAAGCTCTACTTTCCTGGGACGATCAAGTGGATCATTGCGGCGAGGTCTAGTGTCTGGCAGCCGTGAGACTTCCAGTGTAGGAAATGGCTCTGATCCTACACGTTCTCGAGCGCCTGAGGCTAGTCCAGCGACCATGCACAAAATATCAAGTGGACAGAGAATCTCCCCTCTTGTTGGATCATCAGATCCTACTAAACATGCTTCATCTGTCCCTGGTGTGAAGAACTATGAATCCACACTGAAAGGAATCGAGAGCCTACATTTCGATGAGGAAGAGAAGGGTCACTAATGATTGGGAATCCTTCCATCACATTCTTGTAAATTTCTGACTTGTGGTAGAATTGAAAGTAGATTTTTTTTAAAAAAAAATAATTTCGGGTTGGAAATTAGGGATCTAGAGCGTGTGTTGGTAGCTATATATAAATAGATAATCTTAAATGGTGCTAATGCATGATATGAGATGGTTTCAATACAAGCTCATTGTCGTGCATGTTTCAAAATTGTGCTATAAGACATCTCCTTGTCCAGATGATGTAAAAATGTATATTTAAATGGTCCGCAGTTATATTTTAGTTGAATGTCACTTGAGATTTCCCTTCAATTTATTTTTGCCAGAGTGTAGCTTACGCCCATTATGCCATGGTAAATTGAATTTCTCCCACCTTACTTGCAGCAAGTGAGATTTCTGTCTGTGTTGCTGGAGTTGGTAATATGGGAGTGATACTTAAGAGGCTAGAATACCCTTTCTCAGGTCACCATTACAAATTAATTCTCTAGTTATGTACATTTTTTTAATTTTTGATTTTTAATCCCCAAGTATTACATTACAAATAATATAATTTGAAGAAAATGTGTCTGAGGGATTCAATCTGCATTAGTAGAGATGGTTCAATCCACACACTTTTGAACCGCCTTTTGTGACAATCTTGTTCAGCTACTCGAGGGTAAATCAATGTTCATAAGGCACTAAGTTACCGACTCTTAGAAAGAGTTTCAAGTCATGTATGCCCTCCCATATAGACCTGCTTTATATTTAAATCAATCTTGCATAATTTTCTCATCTCCATTTTTGATAATTAACATCTCAACAACTAATTGACTGTTTCTAGGTAACATTTCGACAACTCTTTCTAATTAATATTTCAACAACTAACAATCATGGGACATGTCTAGTTTAAATTCAAATAAAAGAGAAGTTAAAGTCAAAGTCAAATTTATATGTTTGATATTTACTCACTACAAACATTTAATTTTCTTTGAATTCCTATTTGGTACCTTAAACATGCATAAACCCGCTCCACATTAATTTTGGAAATATTTATTTCAAACCTCTCCACATAACTTTAAATCCACTCGTCCGTATAGCTTTAAACCCCGCCGCCTCACATCCGTCCTGTTCTATCGTTATCCTTATGCATTAGAACGTGAAGACCACTGATATTCTGGTTAAGTTTCACATGTACACACTTTCTTTAGGGGCAAAGGACAAAGTTATAACATAGTTGACAAATTGTAAATAATGTTTCACAAGACATATAATTTTAGATAATAAAGAACTACAAAACTAAAGTTCAACAAAGGAAGATCTATCAAGAAGACCAATTCAAACTAGTCAACCTTCCTCCTCAATCTCATTGTAAGCAATGTTGAAGTACCTCAACTCATAAACACTACGGTCCTTATTTGGGAAAATTACTCGGAGTCAATTACATACACTATTCTTCTTAAGAAAATTTCTAACTCAAGTATTTCAAATACCTCTTGGAGATGACAATGATTTTGTTTGGGTAACGAATGACATTCACGGGGTCACCAAGAGCTTCAGCCTTTCCTCCAACCTAGATGCGCTCCTGCAGAATCTTCTCCAAGAAGGTCATTTTCATGATGTTATCCTCAACGAGCTTTGCACAATCGATCACGAATGTGGCTCCCTTCTTATTTCCACCCTTGGTGGCTCTGCTACTTCGGACGATAACAGGAAAAGTTCCTACCTAAAATGCTGCAGCGATTTGGGAGGAACAATGAAAATAGGGGTTCTCACATGAAAAATGAGTAGGAGGAATCCATCAAGTCTTGAAATTAAAAAGGTGACAACTCTAACTAACCAAGGTCAAAACTTCTACTACTTAGTAATTAGGGATTGAATTAAGTAGGGGGTAAAATGTATTTTTAGGACTTCTAAAACATTAATAAAATACAGAAATAACCTACCCTCCCCCACAACAAACTTTTCAAATTACTCTTTTCTCTCCCTTTCTCCTATGAACAAAAATGACATTTCAGGTTCATCTTCTTCTTCTTACCAGGGACTGAACTTCTCTTTCTTTCCAAATCTCATCACCCACCCTTTTCATGAGTGACACTTCCAAGAAAACCGAATCATCAATTTCAAACTCTAAGTCCATTCTCCTTACATTTGCATATGAATTCTAACGACTCTGAGCTATCTTTAGTCTATCTCTAACGAATTGAACTTTCTCCATAGATCTAGCCCAATCAAGTTTGCTTCACCTACTTCAGACTAACCAATCGAAGACTTACACCTACGCCAATATAGTGCCTCATATGGGGACATCTGAATACTGGAGTGGAAGCGATTAATATATGCAAACTTTATAAGAGGTATATGATCATCTAAATTACCTTAGAAATCGATCATGTCTTGAAATATCCTCTAAGGTTTTAATGGTACGCCCTATGTGACCATCCATCTACGGATGAAATGTTGTATTAAGATTACCTGAGTACCAAGATCTTTTTGAAATAATTTCCAGAAATGAGATGTAAACTAAGGACCTCTATCTGAGATGATAGATAAAGGAACCATGCAATCTGACTATCTTGCTTATGTAGAGTCTAGCATAATCCTTCGTTGAATCTGTAGTCTTGAAAACCAAGAAGTGATCTGACTTAGTGACTCTGTCCACCACCACACAAATAGACTCATGTTGTCTGCGAGTACGAGGTAAACCCGTAATGAAATTCATGTTTATCACTTTCCACTTCCACGTAGGAATATTAATCTCTTGAGTCACAACTTTTGTTTTTTGATGTTCTACTTTAGTCTGTTGACAACTTGTACACTTAGACACAAAATTTGTGATATCTCTCTTTATGTCGTTCATCTGAAAGAATTTCCATGATCACGATACATCTTAGTGGCACCAGATGAATAGAATACCTGGAAATGTGAGATTTTGTAAGGATCTGCTTCCTCAAATCACCAACATTAGGAACATAGAGCGAACGGAAACGAAACACACCATCTCCCCTTGGGAGAAAACTTCAACTCTTTGCTGATGAATTGCATCTTCCAACTAAAATAATATAAGACATCTATCTTGTTTTTCCTTAACCTCCACTTCCAATGAAGATTCCTACCTATTTTAAACGATCACACTACCAACTGGCATGTCCACAAGGAAAACTACTAAGAGAGCAAGCCGGTGAACAGCTTTGGCTAATTTTTTCTTCTCTTCCTCAACATGTGTCACACTACCCATGGATAGTCTGTTGAGGGCGTCAACCCCTACATTGGCCTTACCTAGATGGTAGAGCACATTCATGTAATAATTTTTGTGAAATTCAAGCCATATCCTCTAACAGAGATCCAACTCTTTTTAGGTGTGAACACATCCATGTGAACAACTGATATACCGTGGTTCCACGGTATTACTAATAATTTTTCCTTAAGTTTAGTGTGTCCAAAAGCCTTTTTGTGATAATTTTTACATAAGTTTCTCCTCATTTGCAGGAAATCTGTCCAAAGATGAATGCGGAGGTTTTTGAGCGAAGAAATGCAGAAGAGACCACCTACGAAGATCGTGAAGGTCCGTCATGCTTGTGACGGTCCGTAGCTGGCAGCGTAGTGCAGCTGCTGAAGGATGATGGGGAAGTCTGACCAAGTGTGGGGTTACGGAAAACGTGACGGACCGTCGTAGCCATGACGGTCCGTCCTGCAGGTTCGTCATGAAGATCAGAGAAGTAGCCCAAGTACCCATATTCCAAGAGTTCAAGTGCTTTGGAACGGAGACCCTTGACGGACCGTTGTGCTCGTAACGATCCGTCATACCTGCCGTGGAGGGTAATGAAGAGAGCAGCAGAAGAAATTTCATCAAGTATGGGACGACGGAGTCCATGACGGTCCGTCGTGACCACGACGATCCGTCGCGATGTCCGTAGATCCAGCCGCGTTTCTGACAAATTTCCAGCAAATAGAGTCCTTGTTTAATTAGGTTTTTATTTTCTATGAATAGTTCGAAAAACCTCGTTTTTGAGGCCAGACTCTAGATTATTTGGTTAGGCCCTTGATTATTGTTAGATTCTTGATTATCTTGAGACTTTTATCATTGATTGTTGGTGATTTTTGTTGATTAATCAAGCGAACTTTAACTTTTGGATTTTACTCTTTCTCATTGAAGTAAGTACATGAATTCTTATACCATATATTTGAATATTGTGATTTTGACTATGGGTAACTAAACTCCATAACTAGGGTTGTGGGAACCATAGGCAAATAATGAGGTAAAACCTATCTAAAATAACAATTCTAGAATAGTGTCTTGCATGTATTGATAATTCTTTCTTTAGAAGTAGTTTTAACAGATGACCAACGTTAGAACTCGCCTTAATGCTAATTGCCGGACCAAGGATGTAGATAATAGGAAAAGAATTATCAACATAGATTTAGTGTATACTATCTAATAAGCTAGTATTGATTGGTACGAGGTAATAACATAGTCAAATATTGAATATGATGCTTAATATTAGGTAAAGACAAGGGTTAGTATAACAACACACGTAGCCGGACCAAGGTGCAGAGTGAAATTTTCTAGATGCCGGACCAAGAATTTAGAAATACATAACTTATCACTTTGCATGCAAGATACTAGGAAAGAATTGTTATAGTTAGACTTATCAAGTTATGAACCTGTGGGGAACACTTAAACCCTAGTTACTTTGATTAATTGATTAAACTCCAACATTCGAAGCTGTTAGTTATCTCCTTTTATTTCGCTAGTTATTTTCATTTATTTAGGAATAGAAATCCCTCTTTTATCATTTTATGCTTTCTAAGGAATTCATTGACTGAACAATAGTAATGATAGATTGTAGTTAAGTCTAAACTATTTTCTTCGTGGGAACGATCCCAACCTCACTAGTTGGGTTATTTACTTGACACGACCCCTTTACTTCTTATTTGAGAAGTAAGTTTGAGCATATCAAATTTTGGCGCCGCTGCCG